CCTGGTGGGGTGCTTTGAAACCCAGCAGGGAAGCACAGGCAGGGCAGGTTCTGCTGCAGCCTGGGGAGCCACCTTTCCCCAGCTGGCACCTTCTCCATCTCTCCCTGCTCAGTCAAGGAAAGCAGATCACCCTCCAAACTGGGGCAGCTTGTGGAGCCGCTATTCTCTCCTTCCAAGATAATGCTGGCGTGGAGCCACTCTGTCTCCATCCATTCCAGTGAAGTGGTTTGTCATCTAAGCAGGAGAGCTGCCAAAACCTGTCTTGGAAGCAGAGCTTTCCAGTGGTCAGGCTCGGCCCCAAGGCAGCAGCACAGAGGGCGTTTCGCAGGCACGACCAGGGCAGTAGCTTTGCTCTGTCAGCCTGTGCCACCCCCAGCAGTGCTCACATCCCCTGGACCTCCTGGAGGTGCCACGCTTTGGGTGGGAACCTGCTCTCAGAGACAAAGGCAACCCCTCCAGGAAGGCATGATGTGTGTTTGCAGGTGTCTGCTGAAACCACCTGAGCCACCCCTGTGCTGCAGGCGTGCGATGGGGTGCAGGGCAGGCTGGACAGAAGCATCTGCAGGAGCGTGTTGGGTCTTCACAGGAAGATGCTGAGCTGCAGCACCAAGGGCAGCCATGCAGGTGGAAGGACAGCAAGGGCTGGAAACAGCATGTACCCCAGGCGAAGGTTTCTTCTAGAGCAGGGGAACATTTCCTATGTGCTTTTCTGTGGGCTTGTAAGACGTGGTCCTCAGAGGTCCCCACAATCCTGCTTGGAAGACCCTATGTCATATTGGACCTCCACTGGATAATCCATGTAAGCAGCAGGTTGAGAAAGGATGAGAAAGAGATAACTCTCCCTTTCTCTTGCCTTGGCTGCACCTTCCTTCTGTCAACCCTGTAATGTGCCTGGGATGTGAACCCAGGGCTCCTGGTGGCCTTGTGGTACCCATTTCTGGGTACTGCAAGGGGCTCCATGCTCAACATCCCACCTTGGATGGAGAAATGCAGAGCACTTCAAGGAAGAGATGTCACACCAGGGTGTTTCCTGCAGAGAACTGGGCAAAGTTTTGACACCCAGCCTCCTCTTCATCTCTCACAAAATGCCTCTTGTGAGCAGCATGAGGGTTCACCAGCCAAGGGGGTGTCAGTTGGGTGTTTGACTGACTTGGTGCAGCCCAGATATCCCAGCCCTGGTGTTTCAGGAACACCACAGAACACAGACAATGGATATTCCCGAGGATATGAAGCTTTCGCCTTTCTTTCATGGTCAGTAAATTTGTATAAATCCCCCACCTGAGTTCTGGTGGGAGCCAGAAACTGAAGGTTGCACTGTTGCATTGCCAGACTCCTGAACCAGCCAGGGTCTCATCTATGTCCAGCCTGGTTTGGATCAAAATCATAAGAAATCAACAGAAACAGGGCCCTGGATGACTGCTCTCAGCCTTGTGGGCAGAATATCCCCATCCCCTGCAGGTGTACCTGCTGGAGTCCCTCCACTTCTGCGCAGGAGGAGTGATGGTTGGGGACAAGATCGCACTGGATCCACGCCTGAGGGTGAAGGTCCCTTTGCTGGATTCCATGCTAAAGGCCCAGCTCCAAGACATTGTCATGGCACTGCTGAGGGACTGTGCCTTTCAGCAAGGTTTGTCTCTGCTAGGCTGTGCAATCAAACTTGTCCCTGCCCAGGCCATGTCCCTCTGCAGCTGCATCATGCTGATCATGGTGAAAAGTAGCCCAAGAGAGAAGAAGAAAGAGCAGGGTTTCTGAGGATCACAGCTAAAATATTCCTTACACCTCTTTTACTGAGCATCTCTCCTCTGCTCTTCTCAAGCCTCCTTCCCTTGCTCCCTACACCCAGGTTCTTGCCCCCAGGCATGCTTTTCCCATTCCTTTCCAGGTCCCCTATCAACAGGGGTGAGGCTGGCAATGAGATGGGGTCCTCCAGAAGGGACAAGTCCCCCTGCCCCTTGCACATGGCCATCAATCCAATCCCCCTACAGGGTTAGCTTGGGAAGGAGCAGGGTGTGATTGTGACAACAACACATGGCTGATTCATTGTTTGATTCCATCTCTCCCTCCTCACTCGCAAATTATTTGAGTGAAATGAAATACATTTTAGCAGTCAAATCTATAAGCGGGGGGGGGAGAGTGTCCCATTGTGCTTTGACCATACAGGGCAAAATGTTAATTTAATGTACTGAATTTTCTCCGACACCCAAGTAATGCTTAAAATGAAACAAGATCCTACAGAAATGTTTGTGCACCGTTATCTCATGAGTGTCATTATTTACTGAGTAATTACAATGCTTGGGCTGCACGTGCAACATTGTTCCAGCGGGCACATGGAGAAGGACACCGGCTGGCCAGTGACATGTCTGTGGGCTGCCTTGCTGAAGACAGTGTGGCCCCAGGGATTCCACTTCATGGTGCTGCATGTGGCTCCCTGCGATGGTTTTGGTGGGGTCATGTTGTGAGCACGCTCCCCAGGCTCTTCCAGGTTAAAAAGTACCAAAGAATGTTATTTTATAGGAAAGGTGATATGGTTTTCTTATGGGCTCTGGCCAAGAAACACCAAGGGCTCAGTCAACAGTCTGTATTTCCACCTGCTAGCTCAGAGGGAAGGCAGCCCACCACCACTGAGATGCTCTACTTCATGTAGCTAATGCCTCTCCATCCAGCTCTTCTTGACTTGCCAGAGGCTGCAGGACTTTCTCTCTACTCTGTCTACATTGGTGGTAGGTACACCTCAGCCCTGACCACTCGTGTCAAGGCTCCAGAGCTGATAATAATGATAATAATAATAATAATAATAATAATAATAATAATAATAATAATAATAATAATAATAATAATAATAATAATAATAATAATAATAATAATAATAATAATTTAATTCCTGATTCAGCTGTGCTTGTGAGCGCACATCTGAACTGGAGCACCCAATGTAAGTGAAATGTGTCCTCCAGGACCTTACTAAGTAGGAACCTCAAAGCAGGATTTGAGAAAACCCAGATGACAGCGAAATTGTCTCTTGGTTTGGGAGCATTGTGATTAATGTCATTTACTACTTCTTTTGGCTTAAAAGACAAGGAATCATAAAAATAAAAGAAACCTCAAGTTGAAAGCATTGCAAAAAATCAATTAAACCCCACATAGCTGCATTTTGTCCTGGAGCAAAATCTCAGACATAACAGGGAAATTATATAGCCTTAAAGAGAAAGAAAGAGAAGGTTTTACCTGTGGTATTGCTGAGGTATTGCCCGAAGGCATTCGAAGGTGGCTTCTTACGTGCTACCTGCAGAGACCGTAAACTCCCCACAGGAGTAGGGGGAGCAAGTAAACGCCCCCAGTCCTTGCCGTCATTCCCAGGGCCTATCTCAGGGGTCAGTGGTCAGGGCTTAAAAGCCTTTCTGGAGGACAAAGTGCTGAGCGATGGGGTAACTCCTCTGCTGGGATAAAGATGTCCGTGCCTGTGTGTTGCTCAATTAGACCTTATCAAAACAGTGGGTAGGGCTGCTGTGGCTCATGGCTGGGATTTCCTGGCTGGAAATGCTGATTGTTGGAGGAGCTCTATGACAATGTGTCAGCTGATGCGCTACTCGGGGCTGGAGCCAGGGCTTCTCCATTTCTGGGGGTCCAGCCAGTCCCACACCCCCATTTCTCAGACCCACACAAGAGCTCACACCTCTTTTCCCCTGGATAAAGATCTCAAGAGCCCAAAAGAGTAATGGGGACCTGAGTCAAGCAGAACTCTTTCATTTGGCTCCGACATTTGAAGGTGTGCCCTTTCCAGAGGCTCCAGGTCCAGGCCCTGAAGTTAAACTTTTGTCTCGATGAAACAAGCTGTGAAACTCCCATCAATTCCCCCTGGCCTGCGCCTTGCCCTTAGGGAGGAGAGCCGAAACCTTAGAGAAGAGTAAGTGTGAAGGGCCTCTTCCTCCATGTGGGGAAACAGCTCTTCGTGCTCAGTCCCACCAGCCTCAACTGCTCCATCCCTGTGCTGGCTTTGCTGCAAAGATGTGCTTGGGAAGGAAGGCACAAAGTGTGTTTCCACTGCAGTTAATTAAAAAGCAGATTGAATATTAGGCAGGAGAAGGTACTCCTGTTAAATACCCAAGGTCACACCAGGCACGGGATTTGCTGCGCTCGCAGACTTTTCAGTGCAGTTTTGTGGGTTTTCTTCTGCTTCTTTTGCTTCCTTCCCCAACCCCCCAACCTCTTGTCTTTACTTCATTTCCACTTCAGGAAGAGGGGTAGAGGACAAGAGGCAAATAAAAAAACAAGGAGTGTGGGGAGAGGAAAGGCTGTGACACATTTTTAATTTTAAATAAACGACTGAGAATTTTTTTTTTTTTTTTAACAGAAGAAGGGCTTGTCATTAAGAAAAACAGTTACAACTTTCTCTTCCGGCTGCTGCCCCGACGGCCTCTTCCCCGGCGCCCTCGGGAGTCTTCCCCTCGACGGGCTGTCTCGGGGGGCTCTCAGCGCAGCCCCCCGTGGGCGTCAGGACCCGCACCCGATAGTGCTGAGCACCCCAGATCGCCCGCGGCATCCCTGTGCGGGGGTCGGGCAGTGGGTCCGGCCCCACGGGGTCCCCGCCGGCGGGGCGGCGGGCGGCACCGGCGGCGCTCCCCTCCTCGTGTGTATTTTTTTTTTTTTTTTTTTTAATTTTCAGACGTTAAATTCTTTTGCAAACATTCATGCCTTAGGAAGGGCTGGAACAAAGCTCAGCTGCTCCAACCGGTCGGACAGGTAAGCAGACTTGTTGACACCGTTATGTTTGCAGCACGCATGCTCCTTCCCAAGTTTCCTGGTGCATTTTTCTATTCCACCTTATGAAACTTGCCTCCCCCCCCACCCACCCTCTCCCCTCTCCTCCCCTCCCCTTCCCCTCCCCGTGCCTCGGCGGCTCTGCCCGGTGCGTGCGGTCCCGCTCCCTCGGACGGCAGCGCAGCGCCCGCGCCCCGCCGGGCTGCGGGCGGGCGGCGAGGTGAAGCCGCCGCTTCGCTCCGTGCCCAGCCGTGCCCCCTGCCCTCGCCATGCCCAGAGCCTTCTTGGTGAAGCGCCGGAGCCCGCAGCCGGCGGTGCGCAGCTGGGATGGGCTGCCCGACGAGGAGAGAGCCGACACCTACATCCCAGGTACGGCGCCGGCGGGCTGCCTGCCCGCGCCCGTCGCCACCGGGAGGGACGGAGGGAGCGGGGTCCCCGCCAGCCCCCGGGATCCCCAACCGGGAGAGTTGGGGAGAGGGCTTTGCCGGGCCGAGGGAGCGGGCGTGCAGTGGCTTGGAGAGAACTGTACTAAACGCGGGGAAGGGAGGACATGGGCAACACTTGAGGGAAAACTCCCCTCCCAGCGGCAGGGGTGCCGGCCCCGCCGGGAGATGCCGCCCCCATGACTGGCACCGTCTGCAACCCCGGGGATGGCGGGGCGGGGGGAACGTGTGTGCGTCCGGGAAGGTGGGAAACTTCGTTTGCATGAGAAGGGTGGCGGGGGGAGGAGAAGGAAGGACCCAGGGCGGCGGGGGTGATGTACTCTGCGCCTCCTCCTCCTCCTCCTGCCCTTGTCCGGGGTATAACGGGAAGGCGGCGGAGCTGGCTTGTTTGAACTTTGGGACCGTTCGTGTTTGAGTTTCCGATTGCAGCGTGAGCCGGGGATCCTCCCCCGCCGCCCGCGGCCCCGCCCGCAGGTTAAACACCGGGGCCCGGCGGCTCCCGCCTGCTGCCTCCCCTCCCCTGCCCCCGGCTCCGTGGTCCCCCCTCTTTATCGAATCCCCACCCCGCTACAGGGGGAATCGGCTGCGTGCTGCTGGGCTATGAAGACAGCTGCAGCCTGGAGAGCAGCGGGAGCAGCGGGACCCGGGATGCCGAGCCCAGCGACCCCCCGACGCCCCAGCCTGCCCGCGGCGACCTGGGCATGGCCGGAGGGATGCTACTGGACCTGGCCGTCAAGCGCCCCGTGGTCAGGTCGAAAATCAAGGTAACCTGCCGCACCCCAACTGTCTTACAACTCATGATGGGGTGACCATAGTTCAAGGTCAAGACCTGGCTGCTGGTCGGGGACACTTGATGCCAGCAGCCCCTTGGGCTGCGAAGAGGCCCGCGAACATGCTGGCCGTAGGACGGCAGCTGCAGGGCAAGCTTTGTAAGCGATGTACTGTAATCTTCCAGTGCCCTTTGCCTTCTCTTATCCTTGCCTGGGA